CTCCCTGTGCAGCGAAACGGCTACACGAGTTGTGGCGCCCAGCCGAGCCTGGAGAACCGCTATCGTTATTTTGGCCGACGCGAGACTGCAGGACGCGGTCACGTCCCGGGGCCTCATGAAGGCCGGAGGGTCCGGGCGGCTCCGGGCGGCTCCGGGCGGCTCCGGGCGGCTCCGGGCGGCTCCGGGCAGCTCCGGGCAGCGCGCCACTACGTCATGCTGCGGCGACTGGCCAAACTGTTTCCACCGGGCAAAACGACGAGAGTTTTTCACTTTGCCGCGTTACAACCCCCGCGCGTTTGCTCCGCCATGTCCGCGCAACACGCGCGCGGACCAGACCAACCGCGCAGTCGTGTGGATCGCATACAGCGCACGGAAAAGAAGAAAACAAATCCGGGGCGCTAAATAAATATTGCCGAAAATGCCGTCACGTGGGGCCGGTTTGGGCCCCGCCGGCCGATGGGCCCGCAAGGCCCGTGAGGCACGCATAGGGCCCGGCAGGATTGCGTGAGCGGCCGGGAGTACAAACAACATGTCAGCAAACAGGTCGCTGCACCGCGAGCGACGCACGCTGTAGTGTAGTGTGCCGGCCGACATTTTTCAGGGTGGGGGGAGGGGGGGGGGGGGCGAAAAAAGATCTGACGTCTGGATGTGGGTGGGTTGATTTTCGCACCGTGCACTCGTCCCACAACTAATTTTGCAAAAAGGAAAATGGGGGTTTCGCTTTCGATTTGGATGCACATCGTTATGCCTTACTCCACCGACTCTTTTGTTTGCTCACCGAATCTCCTCCTACACTCGCTGCTCGCCACCAACACAGCAGCGCGATACCCACCTGAAATGACAAAGAACAAAAAGTTAAATAAGGTTTTCGAGTTCCACAACAACAAATAATTGTGCCGCTACCACACACAAGGGGAAGTAGGTGCGCGAGCAGCTGTTCCTCGGCACTTGGTTTTCTTTCGTTATCGGGACACCTTAGAATCTACTTGTGAATTGCTCATTTATGTTGTGTCATCAACTAAAACTGTAAGAAAACAATTGGAAGCGAAAGAGAAAACAGCAAAAGAGCGGCGTAGGGATGTTACAATTGGGCAATAAAAGCCTTGCGCTCAGGAACACGAGTGTTGGAGCTTTTACTGGCAGATTAACATCTCAACAGCGGCTCTAATGGCGACCAGGCCGCGGCCCGGCCAGTGGGCCAGGCCAATAGCAACGCACTAACAAACGCGCGGTTTTGCAGCTTGTAGCACTTAAGCCGACTGAGAGCGACACCACCTACCCCCTCTCTCTCTCCAATTGGTATAGGGAGCTGGGCAGGTGGTAGACTCAGGGAGCACTGGAAATGCAAGTGTGTGAATGTCGCTCACCTGCAGGTGAGCGACATTCCATTCGTACACTTAGGGGGCTAAAGGTGTGAATTTTTCCTAGAAAATTCACACGTTTACCCCCCTAAGCACCACCACCCCCACCACCAACCACCACTTCCACGTCGACGACGACGACCTTATTCTGGGCGCGCAGGAGCAGTGTCGGCTTGCTCTCCATCCAGAGACCGCGCAGCTGCAGCAGGCAGGCACTGCATGAAGCAGACGAGGAGTGTCAGGAGGGGGAAGGGGAGGCGGCGGTGGGGCCTCGGGGGAGAGACACAGCGGCAGCAGCAGCGTGTCTGTCCCTTTCTTTTCTCCGCACCGTTCGTGACAATCTCGGCTGCAGAGGGCGTGGCGGAGCGTGGCGGGGCCTCTCTCGCCCGCATGAGGGTCGACCGTCAGGGTGTCGAGGAGGGGGACGGTGAGCAGGGGGGAGGGTGCGGAGCGGCGTAGCGGAGAATAAATGCACTTTTATCGTAAGGGCGGGCGGCGCGCTGCGCGGCGGCGCGGCCGGCAACGAGCAAACTAGTAGCAATGGAATGGTGCAGAGTGGCGTCGCCCCCCC